AATAAAACAATATTATATCTACTCTTTTTTCTGATTAATAATGAATCCAAAAAAGATTTTAATATATTTTTATAATTGTAAAACAGAATAAATTTGATTTCCAAAGTTACATGATTGTTGACTAAGTACTAAAATGATTTGAAGATTTTTCAAATTCTATAGAGTATATGTGATGCTTTATTAAAATAAGAATCTAACATCTTTAAAATTTACTATATTTTTCTATCTTAAGATAATAAGTTTCTTCTAATTAAAGGTTTTTTTTATATTAATTAAATTTTCTTTTTAATNTCAAGCTTCTAGAGGCTTTTAATTATTTTTAATGTTCTAAAATGCATTAAAATTTTCAAATTATTGTCTAAATTTTATTTTATATTATATACATTAATGAAATTTTATTTCAAGAATAATTATTTCATATTATATAATTCAATTTTTTACTGTAGATTTAAAATATGACAGAATTATATAAATTTTCAAAATAAATAATTTAGTTAATCATAAAGATTTTACATTGAAAAGGTGCTCTTTGTCACATCCTAAATGTCAAATATTCATGAGTAATTGCTAAGAAAGGGTAAAAATAAATTTCTTGGAAAAATTAAAACATTAAAATTTTATTTGTTTTAAATTTTAATGTTTTGATGTTTTACTGAACTTCAGGAAAATGAATATATGTAATGTGATAAATAAATAAAATGTAATCAAATTTAATATGGTGAATAGAATTTTGACTAAGTGCTGTGAAAATTTTTAATATTTTGACTCCAATTAAAAAAGCAATTTTTATCACTTAATTTATAAAAAAAAAAAAACCTATAATTTATTGAAAATGTGTATTTTGCTAGATGGTGTTTAATTTAATTTTATAGAAAAGTTTTTTAATTAATTAATGTTGAAAGAAATTTATTATTTAAATTATTGATATATGTCATTCCTGACCAACTTTTGATGGGATATGATGTACTGTACTTTCCTGAGTCAAAAGTACTAACGATCTTTCACCACATTTTATTCTCTTGTAAAAGCAATTTTATAATTTTATAATAACCCACTCTTATAAAATTATGTATGTGCAAAACATAGTTATTTTTATTTATTGCACAGTAATTGATGTTTCAGATTGTCTCAGTTTAGTAAAGACAATATAAGCAGCAATATTTATTTTTCGCTGCAAAAATGAATTTTATCATTTTGCAAATTATGTTTTGCTTCTTTTTACCCCACTTATTTTTTATCCAACTGAAAATGTTTAGAGCACAACTTCTATTTCTAAAATAACAAAACCTCTCTACATTCATTGAAGTAAACAGTACATTTCATTTTGTGTTTTTTTAGTATGAGCAAGCATTCTTTTCACTATGCCACAATCAGAAACAAAAATGGCTACACGTTATCATGCTGATCACTTAATTATCAACCTCCATAGCAATATTTAAAAGAATTTACTATGGAAAATATGAAATTAATATTTGTATTTTAAATTTACAAATTTTTGGCTTCTAAGACATGAAAATTTTTAAGATATTTATAAAAGAAAATAGTTCATTTTATAAGCAACAAATATGATGTATTGGGTGTTCACTTAAACATTTATCCAGGACAAAAAGAGATCTTTCTAATATTGGTTAAATTAGATTAGATTAGGTTATGAATTGCAGCAGACACAAATGCACTGGATATTATATTATGTAAAAGCTTTTAGCCCTTATTATTACAATTCACAAAATTGATAAAATATATATAAATATCTGTAATGAGGGCTTATCACACCAACTAGTAACAAATTATGCAATTTTACAATTTTTTATTTTTTAGTGTTTATAATATACAATAAAAATTTCTTGCTAAAATGCATTTTTAATTAAAAACCCCTCTTAGCAGTTTTGAAGATAATACATATACAAGAACACCAATATCAATAATATATATATTTTACAATTCTTGTAATCAGTAAGAAGTAATCATAACATCAGAAATTTTTTGCATATTACTGTTTACATTATAATTAATTAACAAACATATAATACATTGTAGATTCGTGTAAATATTTTTATTTTTTGTTATGATCCACTTACACGATACTAATTTTTCCATTTTATTCAAAACTATTTAACTTAAAAGTAATATTAAGCATTTATAAATTTATCCAATTTATGTCAGATATTGTTTTATTTTATAATTACTTACATGCTTTATTAAGTTGAAATACATAAATCATCTATTTGTTAAAGTTAATTCTTTTATATTTGGGTTAATTAATCTGCTTGATAATTCTGATTTTCTTTCTATTTAAGTTAAAATTTTTTTCTTAAATTGTTTGTTAAATCTATGTTTAAACTATAATTAAAGTGTGCAATGCCATAATGTTGTAAATGCCATTTTTCTCTAAATACATTTCTATTGAAGAATTGAATTCTAAACACTGTTTTGCAGCAAGTAATTCTGTAGTTGAATTTATATGAAGCTATAACATTTAAAGCACCAAATTGCAAGTCAATGCGACTTTTTTCTCTTAAGACGTTATGGTTTATATTTACATCATTTTGATATTCCAGAGAATTTGTAATGTAGTGAGTTTTTTACCATTTTATTGTAAAATTGAAATGAATTCATTTACTGGAAAAAGTTTTTTTAACAGCATTATGGCATTGCACATTTCAGTTATTATTATTTAAGCATTATTTACATCATTTTTCAATTGAATTTATAATATTTATTTTGTAAAATTTTCCAAACAATATTTTTATGTGTACACTGGATATTACATCATCATGACAAGTATCATTCCATTGCTATGTGCAACAAGTACAACATGCAGAGGAAATTGAACATCCATTTGAATGGTGCAATGTGATGTTAATGACAAATTTGGCTGGCTGCTATAACAAGCAGAAGAAGTTGATAAATGATATCACTCTGAATGAGAATACAAACTAATCACAGTAGACAAGTGACCCAAACAACTGCTCTACTCTAACCAGTTAAACAGGAACTCTGAGTACTCTAGAGAAGCCAGTAGAATTCACCATAAATTTACAGCATGACAAACCGCAACTCCTTCAACACATTTTACGAACTGATAAGATACTGCTTTCCCAGAATGAAGTTTATAACCATTACAATGTACATCACGAGGCACTGTGCACTCCACAATATACTGTACATGACACATGTGATATTAAGTACACTTTACCCTAAATGTCTGGTGTGGAATATGGGGCAAGCTTTTTAGTCTTGTATTCATTAATGGCACTATGAATAATGACTGATATTTGAACATCCTGAACACAATGCTGGATGAATTGCTTGATGATTTGCCATTCATGTAACTAAAGCAGATTTTGTCATATCACAATGGCATACTAGCTCATTTCCAGATATACGTATGTCAGTGGCTCACAAAGCAGTTTGTAAATCATTGTGTAGGACAGCACAGCTCTGTTCTATGGCCACCACATTTCTCAGACCAGTAGTGCAACCAAAAACTTCAAATAGGAAGCAAAAAGTTTGCTGATTTTTATTATAAAATTTATAATAAAAATAATTACATTTTAATAATGCTATTTTTAAGCATTATAAATGTGTAAGCAAGCATGAGCTATTTTTTCTTTAATTTTTTTTTTTAATTTTCTATAGTGATTGATCACCCCTTTGCCCCTCCTTTTTATTAGTAATTATTAGCTCAACCCCCTGCCCCATCTTTTATTGCACCACTGTCCCAGACTGATCTCTTTAAATTTTTTTCCTATGGGGGTGTCATCTAAGAGCATTGTTGGTGCTGCATAACCAGCAGCATCAACAATGTTGGTAAACAGGAGAGACTCATACAAGAGATCTATGAACAATGACACAAGGAATGCCACATAACATCTATAATTCCATGCTTGTTCATATAAATCTTTGTATTGCCACCACGGCAATCATTTTGAACACATTCCCTAACGAAATAAAACTCTTCTTTTTTGTATCAATTTCTTCAATGTTGTTTTTATCCTTTAGAGTTTCAATATGATTTTAACTATTTTATTTATCCAGTTTTATGACATTGTTTGTTGTCAGATGAATTCAGATTTAGCATATTTATTAAAAATTAATTAATGATTTAATAAGAATTTACAAAATCTTTTTTATGAAAACAAAACTAAAATTATCATGCTTTCTTTGAAGAGGTTAGCTAATAATTACTGATAAATTTTTTGAAACTTCTTTGCTTCCTTATCAGATCATTGATAGGATTAGAATGGTAAAAATTCATATCAGTTTGAAATAGATCTTGCAGCAGAATAAACTGCTTCATAAAGTTGTTTTCATGTTTGTTTTATTATCTGAATGTAAACAAGTTACTAAAAATCATGACATTTAAGTAATCTTTATTGCATGAACTATTTTGTATAATTAAATGTTTACGATTGTATATAAGAAGTTTCATTATAAAAATACAGTAGACCCCCCTTATAACACTGTTGATAATTCCGTATTATATGAATTCCATGTTGTACAAGTCACTTAGATTTTACAAATACATGAGCCATTCATGGCCCGACACACGTATTTGTAAAATCTAAGTGGAATTCCACATAATATGGAATTATCAACAGTGTTATAGGGGGGTCTACTGTAAATAAAAAATAGTTGTATATCAAATATACATTTTATAAAAAAATTTTTTTAATTATGAACTTTCTATCAAGCTTACTTATTAAACTATAAACTATTTACATTTTAATATTTTCTTGAATCAAATCAACATACAAGAAACAAAAGTTAATACATAAATAAAATAATAAAAATAAAGATATAAAAGTTAATATATTTTTTGTGTGTTTATTTGATTCATATTCTTAAATGTTTCTGAATTATTTATGTATATAATGAGTTGAAATTTTATTAACTAATTAAAAAATAAATATGAAAATTTTTCCTTTTTAAATGTAACTTCTACAGAATTTAATTACAAATATAATATATATTTTATATATATATATTTTTTATCATAGGATAATTTACCAATAGAAGAAAGTAATAATATGCAGATATTACCCACTGAGCTTCAGATTACCAATTTACAACAGACTGATATAGGAGATTATTTATGTATGGCAAGAAATAGAGAAGGAAGTGTTTCTGCAATATCTAAAGTCATTGTAGCAGGTTGTAAATTTTCATTTACACTTTGGTGATTACAGTTATTGAAATTTTTCATCGTAACATATATTGTTTACTACGAATATTTGAATAAATGAATCAGAACATTTTAAAATAATTTCTTTTAATTTTAGGACCAGCTGTAATAACTACACCACCGAGAAATATTACTAAATTAGAAGGAGAAAAAGCTGAATTTATTTGTGAAGCCAAAGCTCTTCCTACAAATGTTACTCATAAATGGTTTCATAATGGAGTAGAAATCTCCCAGTTGTCGTGGTTAGAAACTCGTACCCTTGTTCGTCGCGACGGCACTCTGTTTGTAAATCCTACATCAGCTGAAGACACAGGAAAATATACTTGCGAAGTATCAAATGGAATTGGTACTCCTGACACTGCTTCTGCTTATTTAAGTGTAGAATGTATGTACTGTACATATTCAGTTTAATATTTTACAAAATATACATTTTAAAATATAATATTTTAAGTTTTATTATTTGTTATGATTATTATTATATCTATAAACTTTTTTAATACTTGACAATTAGAGATATTCTATATGTTTAAATTAACATTCATTTAAATTTAAATTTCTGATATGCCTATAGTATTTTCATTTTTAAAAAATTTGTTACAATATAAATAGAAAAACTTAAAAATACAGTAAAATATAAATTGTTTCTTTCTAGAATTATAACTAATTATAACATCAAGAATAATATATATCTAGTTTTATTATTTTTTTAAAATTTGCATATTTTAAACTGAATTTTCAATTATAAAAATTTCTTTTTACATTACTATTTATTGAATTTATAAATGCAAATAACCCAAAATAATAAGAATAATAAATGCAAATTCATATGAAAAGTATCTCAATATCTTTGATACTTTGTTATATTTGTTTTTTATATTTATATTATCAATATATTTTTATTTTTTGTAATGAAATTTTGTAGCAAACATTTTATTTCATAATTGAGTGTTGTAGAACAAAGTAATTCGAATATTCTCTAGACATTAAAAACAAAATTCTTTTGAAATTATATTAAAAATTTGTTTGTTTACAGTTCTATAAACACAAAAATGTAGAAAATATATAGTTTATATAAAAACATTTCAAATTCATTTTATGTGAATAATGATAATAAGAAAACATATATGTAATCAAGATAAATAATAACAACAAACAAAATAACTTTATACATAAAATACAAATATTTAATAAATATATCAATATAACTATGTATAAATAAAATATTGATATAATAAATATTTGTAGTAGATTACTATTTATAGTATTTTCTAATAAATGCTGCTAAATTTATTATTCATTTACTACTATGCAAATAATCACTCCCCATGGAAAATAAAGTTTTTTACCAAAGGTTCAACATATTCAACTATAACAAGATATTAAAGAAGATTGATTATATTTGAAAATATACTCCTTTTTTTTATGAATTTAATTTTTCAAACACACAAAATTATAGTGCAATCTCATAATTCTCTACATGCAAGCTTAAAGTATGGCCAGAACTTCATTGGAAAATATTTTCTAAATGATATACAAATAATCAGTATTGTATTAAATATAAAAATTTTAAATTTATTTAAATTTTAATTTTACAATAAAAAGCCAACTTGAAACATTGTAAACATCAGATTTATAAATAACAACTTTTCAAAATAAAATATAGTAATGCACTAGTTTGAATTTATTAATTCATTCCAGGAGGCCATTTGAACTGAATTGTTCAAAGTCCAAAGCAATTTTTCCCATAATAAATAATGGAAAGTTAGTTTATTGAAATAGATATTGTTTAGGGGTTAACTTAAAACAGCAAATACACATAATTTAAGGTAAAAATAACACAATAAAATCCCCTAATAGTAAATTAAAACATACATACATATATTCATATTTTTTTTTTACGTCCACACATACTCACAATAATAAAACATGAAAACAATAAATAAAATACGTAAATACTGTATAATGAAATGAAAATTGCATCAGCTAGTTGCATGCCTGGACTTTGGCATCTTAAACATGGTTACCAGATCTGCCATATGTGTATAGCTTTCATGCGCCATAATAAGTTCCTTTTTCATTTCAATTGTCTAGATTTCAACTTTCCTCTTAAACTTTGTTGCTTCCATACACTTTTGAATGCCATGATGAATAAGTAATGGTTACATTGTGTTCAACAAAAAGGTTGTGTATTATTAACAGTTGTCATTATGTAACATAGATGTGTGATATAATTAAAACATTCAGTCATAAAGAATGTAATCTCACATTGTTGCTAATGTGAGATTGTGTTTTTGTTTAAAAGCTTATTTTAAATTTATTTCTTCACATTTTGTTTGAATAACATCAAGTTGAAATGTTTTCAGATAAAATGCATATTAGGCATATGCATTATGAGTTTTGGAAAGGATATAATGCTTTACAAACAATAAAAACAATCTGTAATGTATATAGGAATCAGGCTACTAAACTTCAAACATTAAAAAAAGTTCCTACTGTTTGAGAAATTTTGAACTAAAGGATACAAAACATACGGGACACCCAAAAGCTGAAGACAAAAAAAATTACAAGAGGAAATTGTTAAATTTCTTCTTGTAATTTTTTTGTCTTCAGCCTCTTTGCAAAATTAGCTTATTGGGGAATAACTCCTTTACGGCTTCAATTGATTCATTTGATGTGTGACAAGTGGCACCATCTTGTTGAAACCATGAATCAGTTGAAGCCATAAAGGAGTTATTCCCCAATAAGCTGATTTTGTGAAGAGGTGATGTTAACTGGCCACCATGCAGACCAGACCTGAGTCTTCTGAACTATTTCTTATGGAGACTTCTTAAAGAGAGGGTGTACGAAAATAAGCCAAGGACATAAACTCAAAGCAGAATATCATAGCAGAAATGGCATCGGTATCTCAGGTTTTGTGTCAAGGTGTACTGAGAAATCTTCACTCAAGATTAGAAGAGTGCCAGGAGCATAACGGATGCCATTTAGATAACATAATTTTTTAGTAAATAATTTTCCAATAACTGTAGATTGAAAATAAAAACAAAACTTTCTTTGAACATTTATTTTTAATTTATTTTACTTTTCAAACACACTGTATTATTAAAGATAAAGCTAATTTTTTTAAAAAGGAATATATATATATATATTTTTAAATTTTAGATAGTTTTTTAATGGCTGTATTATTGAAAAACTAATGTTAAAATTAGCAAAAATATATGAATTTTAAACTTATTTTATTAAATTTATTTTTTTTAGAGTAGCATCTAAAACTTGGGTTATATAATATTACTATACTAGGTTAATAAACATCTATATCAAGTTTGTTTATAACTTATTCAGAAAATATTCAATAAACAAATTCAGAAAATGAATTTGTTTATTGACAGGAAATGAAATTAGCATAATATTTATGCATGTTCTGTTTTGACATTCTGATTATTTTTAATGGTTCATACATATTATATTTCATTTTGAAAAGTGTTGCATTTTTAAACATTTGAAGAAGCATTTAATATTGAAAGTTCTTCAACATGTTAAATTTTCTACATTTAATATATTATAAAATTTGCACTTATCAACAAGAATTCAATTAGCATGAGATTGTAGACTGCATACATTTATTTTATACTGCCTGAATATAAATGTTTGATCAATTAGAACTATACTGATAGTTTGAATTGTAATATTTTTTATAGAGAGATTTTTTAAATCCAATTCAGTTACTTAAAATTAATTTATAATATAAATAATAAAACAGTTTTTTATCAAGGATTAGTCACATTTTCACTAATATTTCTTTTTAGTAAAAATATCATATGGATGAACAGTTTTGTGTTTTGAAATATCTGAAAGAAAGTATATTTTCAGTAATGCTGAGTTCATATTAATCTTAAAAAAATAATTACAAGAAAAACTAGTTTAATACAAATGATGTTTCCTCAGCTTCTTGTCACTTCTGTGAATTTGCTTGAAAAGATCCCGCTGCATCTCTCATATGTGTGTATGTGGCATTTTGTTCTGGTAGACTTGTTCGTCTTGAGTGTTTTGAGTGTAAGTGACGTACACCAATTTTCCTTTAGAAATCTGTTATCATTTTTCAGTGACCAAATTCCTAAAATAACTTATTATGGTGTGCACAATAGACCTTTTAGATATTTTAAGCTTTCATTTCATTTGCTCAATCTACAATCAATATAAATATAAATTAGCATTTATATCAAAGTTAGAAGCTTTCAAATCAAATATCTAAATTTTTTTGAATAAACAAAAATTTAGTTTGATTTTATAAAAAATTTAAATTTACACATTATAAATTATGATAATACTTATTAAAGCATCTAATAGTTATTATATGAATATTTTAGCTTAAGAAAATATTCAAATAGAAACGTTTTCAAGTAAGGACTATTTACAGGAGTTTTTAATTAAATCATTTTATATAAATTTTTAAAATTTTAAATACATAATAAGAAATTAATTTCTTTATTATATTTTTATAATGTGACAATTTATATTAAATTTGAAAAGTAAAACTTTGTAAATAAAATTTGTTAAATTATATGAATTCATTATATTATTCGTTACTTATCAAATTTGCTTATCTTAAATTTCATTTTATATTATTAAATAAATTATATTCTTTTTATTATTTACATTAATGAATATTTTTAACTTTTATCTTCAAAACGAAGAATAAATAGATTTACAGAATTTTATTAATTCATAATTTTATAATAACAATAAGAGTTTCTCCTCTACTATTATTACTAGAAATACATAATTGAATCTTTTTAAAAAATTCCATTTTGTTTTTCTTAACAAAATTAAGTTAAATTAAAAAATTACTAAATTAATTTTTGTTGATGCTATTGATATTATCATTATTAAAATGTTTTTCTTGTCTAAAAGAAATAATTACAAAAAAAGTTAAAATTGAAAAATTAATTTACTTTACTATAAACTTTTATAAAAATTAACTTATATTTATTTATTAGAAATGAAAGGAAAGCTAATAAGCTCAAATAAATTATTTAGAATATTAAATTAATGATATCATTTAATCATAATTTCATACAATAATAAATAAATAAAGTTACTTAAAGTTTAAGTTACTTTATCTGTAGTTAATTTGAACTCTCTCCCCTCAACCAATGGTTGGTGGGCAAACATGGATGTGTGCAGTATTATTATTTTTATTATTATTTTGACAAAATAGTTTAATTAAATTTTTGAGTGCTTTTTATTTAATATTGATATAGTTTAAAACAGATTTCTTCATTCTTTAATTATTAAATCAAATTTTTCTATATGATTTCTTAACTTTATTGTTTTATAATTATAAATATAAATATCTGGAAGCCTGCAAATTATATTAAAGCCAAAGAA